GAATATAAAAACAGTGTTTACCCTAAGAAGGCAGGAGGTCTGCCTGTTTACCTCTGTACCCACAAGATGTAAAAACAATATAAGTTGAGTTGATGGTGAGTCCTCTCATGAAGAATAATAGATAATAGGAGGAGTCTGTTGATTTGAAATCACCACTAGAGTTTCAAGTGGGAAATTTAAATGTAGCTTTCTGATCCCTTGACAATAAAAGACCAGAAATTGAGGGTCTACTTTATGCCATGGTCCAAGAAAAAAAAAAACTAGCAGAACCAAACTTATAAAGTGGCCCAACTTACAAAGAAGTTTTCTTGGGAACAAACCTGGAGCTATGTCAACAACTACAATCTTATCTACCATTTTACTGAGATCTCAAAGAATAGAAACCTCTGAGATAGATGTACTCACAGACAGCCCACTAATTCTCAGAACAGACTTATGGTGTCTGGATCAGTTATTTGTGACCTTGATGGTATTGCCAAAAGAAGAGCGACAAAATCCTAAATAAAATTATTGCTTCTACACATGGGAAGAGATCAGGCAGTCCTACTAATCTGACCTGGGACGCTGGGGGGCTGAGGGTCAGCTGGTTATTGACTGATCCAGGAAGGGTTTGGGCTGTAGTGAGTCTGTGCATGTGACCCTCATCCTCCAGGGTAGCCCCAGCATGTGCTCATGATGGAAGAAGGAGTTCAAAGGACCCAGCAGGTCCTGTGAGGGTCTTTTTAAGCCTTTGTTTGCATTGGAGTTGTTCACATTACACTGGCCAATGCAAACTGCTTGGCTATTCTGGATCCACAGGGTGGAGAAATAAATCCTTGTTTCTTAGTGAGGAACTTCAAAGTGTCAAGGCCAATGACGTGTATACTTGGAGTGAGGAATTATGACCACCAATGAAATACGTGGGAAAGTTAGCCCAATTTTTATGATGAAACAGAAGCTTACATAACCAAGAACAAACAAAAATTTAAGAAGTTTGTAGATTTGAGTTTCAACCCCAGATCTCTTTAGTTCTACCCCACATTTATTTTACCATAATTGCAATTTTGAAGGGATGCTGATAGTTTATGATAAATCAAAAGCACATGCATTGTGCTCTAAACTGAAGATGTCAAATCAGCTAAATCATCTTTTGTCTGTAAGAAATCTGGGATATATAGTAGAAAATGAATATTTTTTCTAGATACACTAGGTACTATTAAATAGAGGTAAGAAGTACTAGGTACGATTCTCTTCACAAAAGAACCGAAATCCACTGTATGCACTTAGTGGAAGGGAGTAGAAAGTTGTCCCCAAGCATCACCATGTCTGAGTGGACTTGGAAGGTGAGCGGGTTCTGAGGAAAGACAGAAGGAAAGGGAATCCTGGCAATGAAAGAGTCAACAGGAGAGAGGTGAGGAGAAGAGCAGCTACCTGGGATCTAGCTGAGTACTTTTATTTCTTGAGCACAGGCCTTCAGTCTTGAGTGGCATCAAAATTACCTGGAACACCTAACAAAAAAGCAGCCCCAGGGACCGGCCTTCAGAGGCATGAGTACAGCTGGTCAGGCCTAGAGGCCAGGTGTGTCTTCATCCAGCAGATCAGTGGTTCTGGTGCAGGTGCAGTTAATCTCTCAGGGGATTAATGCACCAATTAGGCTCAAAGTCCTATAACCCAGTCATTTTCCCTCTAAACTTTCTTGCACTGTCTCATACATGAGCTTTTGGGAGACAATTCACATGTAAACCATAGCATTGCCCAATCTGACTTTCAGCTTTTTAAATGTTGAGCTGAAATAAACCTTTATTTCCTTTAAAGCATCCACCTTTGGTATTTTGTCACAATAATATGAAAATGGATTAAGACAGCCATAATTGGAGAAATACCCTTTTTGTGAGGCTCAAGAAACAGAAACAGATGGTCAGGTCATTGAGGATCAGATAAAGAAGGATGTTTAAACCATGCTGACCACTGAGTTTATTTTCTATGTAATAAAGAGCTCTCATGTTAAATCAAGATAATATTGAGATCACACTTAAATGTTGGAAAGTCATTTTTCCTATGTTGTGGCATTAAAATTAAAACTGACAGGAATGTGAGCAAGAGACATCCTTTGGGAGGTAGTCATAATAATCCAGTTGACTCTCGGCAAAGATTCAGGAGATTCTGATGCAGCACATAATTGGTTATGGATCATTGTTGTAAGTTGATTGCACTCATTAATTATATGACGAATGAATGAGGAAACAAATGTAAAAAGAGAGTGTATTTGGGGTAGGAGACATGCAGACTTACCATTCAAACTCTTAGGAATTGGAATTGGGCACACATTTGGAGAACTCTAATTGTTGGTGAGCTGAACATTGATGGTGTATATTTGTCCAGACATGAATCTCCTGCCTGAATTTAACATCCTTTGCATCTAATCCTCTTGGAGGGAGTAGAGCTCCTTTATTGAAGGATCGTTAAACATACACATCTCCTTCCAAGATTAATTAAGCAATCTCTCTGGGTCCATTCTATTAACCTGTAATTAGAATGTGAAGATACTCATGCTCCACGACACACACTTTAATTGCATCTCACCGTGTGCTGATCATGCATACTCCATTGGAAAACAAGCGGGATTTGGAGATTGGTTGCAAAGAAAAGTGGCTGTCACTTCTGGCCTACTGCCAGGCATGGTGGCCTCAGTTTCCCATCTTCCTTTATCCAGTGGATCCTGTTGGTAGATTTCCCTGAGAAAGGGAGCAGGTGGGAAGATTCTAGTGTCTGGGCATCTTGTAAAACAGGTCAACTAAGGTCCATTAAACTGGTATTTGTACCCTTCCTAAGTTTCTTCCCTTCCCAAAGCTTATTCGCTTATTTCTGGTAAGAACAGATTGATTAAGATGGCATTCACCAGTATAGATCACAAAGTTGGAAAAGGGAGCACAGATATTAGTGTCCCACTCTTTTAAAGCAAAAACTAGAATTTGAGAATAGGTTCCAAACTTGTTCTTCTGATTTCCGAACTAAGTTTTTTCTGATACTCAGCCCAAGTCTCACTCTCAGGTGTTCTTGTCCACCTCCACAGGCGGGAGAGCGCACATCTCACATTTTCCTTTATAAGCTGTGGCAGAGGTATTTTACCTTCCCAACTCTCTTCCATCCCTGTGTTCAAGAAGCACTTCCTGAGCCACAGCACAGAGCTGATACTTGAAAAGACCCCAGTTCCTGTCCTGTTGGAGCTTGCAGTCTCAAAATTAATTCATGGCAGTTTTTATAAAATTGTAATATTTTATTTAAATGGGTAATATCTGTGATCCCATCAGAATTCAGCTGGACTCCTTGTTTATGTCCTTACCCAGGATGGATAGTGGTGACATTTCTTCATTGGCAGAACAACAGATCCAGAAGCAGAGTCTGAAAATTAGAGGAAAAACAAGAAAACTGTAGGGGAGTGAATGATGTCCCTCCCAAATATATGAACACCTCCTAATCCCAGAACCTGAGAAAGTGACTTTGTGGGAAAAGGGTCCTTGCAGGCATGATCTAAATATCTAAAGATAATTTGGATTGTCCAGAGGAGCCCTAAATCCAATGACAAGTATTCTCATCAGAGAGATTAGAGGAGAAGCACATAAAGTTGGAGACAGAGCTCAGAGTGATGCAGACCTGGGCAAGGAGTGCCCAAGGCCATCAGGAGCTGGAGATGCAAGAAAAGATGCTTCTCTAGAGCCTTTTGAGGAGTGAGGCTCTATGACACTTAATCTTGGAGAGAATAAATTCACGTGGAAAGCAATCCTGTTTGTGGCCACTTGTTTGGACATCCCAGAACCAAGAGACAGCTCACAGAACAGGCACTAAGGTGAGATGGGCAAGCACATAGTATCAGACCTTGGAAGAGGAGCTCATCCTTAGGTTCAGACAAGCATGAGGTCAGACATGGTAGGAGCCTAAGGTTCAGCCCAAAGCATCCAGCTGGTCCCACTCCACTGGAGGCCAGCTTAGAACAGAACTCCAAGACAACAGGTTTACAGAGAGAAGTTATTTCCAGAAAAGAAAAGGCAGCAATGTCAAATGTTAGAAAGGCCAATGGTGACCACTGAGTCCCTGAACACAGGGGTGATGTCCCTTTGTGCCTTTTTGTCCTTGAGTCTCCTAGTGCCCATGTAGGCCAGAGACTATCAGAGAGAAAGTGAGGGCAGCAGTGACACAGAGTGCTTCCCTTCACACGTCACATCTCATCTCAGTTCTGACGAGAGCATCATTCCTGCCTCAGAGGCGGAAGACTGAGGCTCAGAGAGGACCCGTGACTTCTCCGTGTGACGCCCAGGTTTCTGTGACTCCCACCACACCACTGGGGCCCTCTGTGGTCAGCTCTGATTTCCCCACGGTTTGATTCCTGCCTTCTTTCTGAGCACCTACTACTGTTCTCCTAACTATCTTAGGATCTGAGTAAGATATTTCTGCCTGCCTCTGACTCACAGCCAGGGAGGGGGAGAGCTAGAGTTAACTAGTTAGCATAAAGGAAGGTAAAGAAGACAAACAGGGAAGAGAAGCAGGGGCAGCAGTGAGGGCGCTCAGAAGCCAGACCCTGATTCTTGGTAAGCAAGGACCCACGACACCCAATCCTCGGGGGAAATGCCTCACTTCTATGTGAGTTTGTTCAATCTGAGGCAACTTCTACCTCAGTTGGACCAAGAAGCCATCTTCTAGCTCTTTTTCTCTGTTGATTTTCAGTGTTTAAAATACCTTCAAAGCAAGTGAGGAAATCACTTTCCATTTTGCCAATGTTTGCTTTTCAGTGTTTTGAATGAATCGTCTCTGCAAACTGCTAAGCTAATTGAAGTGCCACCCTTTCAGCTGAGAAAACATCCTGCTTTGCCAAGGCACATTTGCTTGTGTACCCAACGTCACTACACCAGGGGCCAGGGCTGGGGAGATAATCCATGTGAGCCCCAATGCCAGGTGCAGGATGGAACGTCTTTGGGGAGGATGGGGCTGAGCTTTGAAGGGGCCATTTCACACATGAACAGATAACTTCTCTTTGTTGAGAAATGCAGAGAATGCATATCTCAGAGAGGCCAAGTGACTTGCCCATGGCTGCAGACAGAAGGATGCAGTCAGGTCTCAAGACTGTCCTGCCCCAGCAAGTGCCGAACTGACTCAGAGCAGAGGCTAATTCCTAAAAGGCTAGAGGAATTTAATTTCCTCCCGATATTTGAGATTTTATTCAATTAAAGAACTTGGGTTTTAAGTTCAGTTCTGTATCACCTCTGCCCTTATTTCACTATGTCTTATGTTCCAAATATGTCATTTAGTGTCTTGTGAACAAGACACTTACCAAAAAAAATAAACAAACAAATGAAAAGAAAAGGCTTTAAAAAAAGACTCTTAAAAGGAGCATCAACACTTTTCATGAATCAGATTTATTTGAGCAAAGTGATATCTACCCTTAAAGAAATCCAACTTATTCTCTTGACAGGTTTATAAAACTGGGTTATTTCATCATAAAAGCTGATACTATATGTGTGATGCAGTTCAAGGAATGTACCAGGGACATTTTCTCCAAGTTCAAAACATACCTTAGGGATGCGGGAGAAAAAATGTCTACTGATCTTTCAACCAGGAATGAGATGAAGTTGAAGTTGATTTAGGAGAGAAGAGACCTGATGCTTCACAGAATTATTCAGTCTCTTAAAAAGGGAGAGAGAGACTGTATGTTGAATTGGAATTCACTTTGAAAATTACCTGTTTTTTCTTCCTTAATTAAAATTACTGTGCTCAACTCAAAGCAGAGCATTTTTAGAAAAAAATAATTTATTATTAATATTAACATGTATTAATTGGACTGATTAATGGATTTGACTGTAACATTTCCATACATACCACACCCACCCTCCCTACACCTTCCATCTGCCTCTTCCCTGGTACCCTCTCCCCTCTCCCCTTCCCTATTAGTCTCTCTTCTACTTTCAAATCTTTGTTTTTTAAAGTTTTACAAATGGGATTACAACAAATTAAAAGCCTTCTGTATAGCCAGTGAAAAAAGTAAGAGAGTGAGAAGTCCATCTACAGGGTGGGAAAGAGTTTTGCTAGCTATTCACCTGACAGAAGATTAATAGAGAACATGAAGCTGAGCTTTTGAATGGTTGAAACTTAGCCAGATTTAGACAAGACCAACTAATATTTTGGGTCAAGCAAACCCTTCTGCAAGTGAGTGGATTTCCAGATATGAGTCACTGACACAGACAAAATTATCTGTCCCCAATATCCAGCATCCAGCTTGGGACTTGGCATATAGAATGCATATTAATATAACTTATTGAGAAAGATCAGTTTATATTTAAGTGACTGGATACCTTAACACTCTTTGAATTTAAACAGTCTCCTAAGCAAACATTCCTGAGAATGAGTATGTGGAAGTCAAAACATCAGAGAAATAGTGTCGTGTGCAACACATGGAGGACCTCACTTAGAGACAAAGTGTGAAGGGTTCGAATGTCGAGCTTGGCTCTGTAAAGCTCACTAAAGTCCAGCCTGGGTCAGCAATGCATCACTTAAATAGTATAATAAAAACAGTAACACTCATTAATGACGACTGGTTTTCAGGCGCAGTTCTGCGTATGTTATGTTAATATATTCTCTATCCATTAACAACACAGCTCTATCCCCTTACAAGTGGAGACATCAAGGCACAGATGATTACTCACCTTGCATGATGACAGGAAGTGGCACGGCCAGGCTGGGGAACCCAGGGCAGCTGGCTTCTGCACAAGGCACGTGCCGCCTGGTTCACTTGCATATCAGCTCCTGAAATCCAGACCTGGCATCCATCATCCATCTGCCCTGCTTCCTTTTTAAAATTTTAAGCCCAAAATAGTGTCTGAACAGTGCTCTTTATGCCTTTTGCGTTTATTTTTATTGTTGTTATATTTATCATTAACTACTCTGTTTCAGAGGCTTTAACTAAACCATCTAAAGTAATGGCCCCCATAAGTCTTGGAGGCGGCTGTGCTAGTTCCAGTATACATAGAACATGTGGGCAGGGAGGGGTTAAGGATTCCACCCAAAGTCTCCAAGCTGGCAAGGGGCCGAGATGGGATTTAAATCAAGGTTTTTATCTGCCTCCAAAGTGGAGCTTCTCTCTTTCTCTCCATGCACCCCTCAGCAAATTACAGGCTAACATTTAACTTGTGATTTCTTGCACAATCATACCCTCTCCTAAAAAGGGAGGGGACGGTGCTAACAGAAGCTCAGCCCCAGCAGTGAGTCCTTTGCTCTGGTGTGGTTGTTTTAGTCTGCTTTTCCACCGCTGCGACTGAAAGACCCCCAGAACAACTGTAGAGGAGGAGAGGTTTATTTAGGGGCTTGCAATTTCAGAGGTCTCAGTCTATAGACAGCAGGCACCATTCCTCAGGGCTCAAGGTCAGGCAGGACATCATGGTGGAAGAGTGTGGTAGAGGGAAGCAGCTCACATAATGATCAGAAAGGAGAGAGGAGGGGGGGGGAGATCTCCACTTGCCAGATACAGATATATACCCCAAAGTAAAGCCCCCAATTTTCACCTCCTCCAGCCACATGCAACGAACTGGAAAGAAGATCTAAAGTAGACCAGGAAGGGGGGGTTCCAGGGCCAGTGGTCTGTACATGTCCCATGATCAGAGTTACTTACATAAACCATGAGTCTGATGCAATCCAAAAGGCCTAATGCAGAGATACTGGGCAGGTGCTTGAATGTTTTCAAAATGAGCATCCTCGGAGAGACTGCAGTTTCTTTCTTGACACAAGGAGAATGTATCCGTGACTGCCACCACTATGTACCAGGCATTTTACCCTGTCACCTGACTGGGTCAGTTGTGGGCCTATGACAGTCGAGGTCCAGAGAGGGTTAGATTCTGAAGATTTTTCCAATGACCTGGCTCTCAAGTCATTGCTGGCTCCAAAATCCTGCATTTCCCAGGGCAGTCTATGCTCTTTTGTTGTGTTGATTTCAAATGTGAAACTCAACCTTTTCCTCGAGTTAGACCGTGGATTATTCCTGCCATGCAAGAGCCAGGCTGCGGCTCCCTCCCTTGGCTGAATCTTCTGTTCTCCCTGTGACCCGGCGCCCAGCATGGGATTTCTCATGCTGTAGAAGATCAAACTATTTTTGTGAGATAAAAGGACCTCCACGTTTTTATCATGTAGATTTGGAATCTGAGAGCTGGAAGGACCCACTTTAGTGTTCTGACAGATGAACACTCGTATTCCATGGCTCATGGAGTCATAATCTTATCCCATTCACTCTCACCACAAACAGTTCAAGGGCCCAGAGAGGAGGACTTGGGCTCTTGTTGCCGGTACTTGTCAATGTGGTCCTACTTGAAAATAGGATCTTTGTAGACATGGTCATCACGTTAAATTGGGCTTATACTGGAATAGGGTGAGCCCTAATCCAGTGACTAATGTCCTTATAAGAGGATGAGAGGACACACAGGAACACTTGGGGACATCACTATATAAGACAGAGGCAGAGACCGGAGCCACGTGTCCACAAGCCAAGGCATGCCGAGGCCACTCGGACCACCCGAAGCCAACAGAGAGCCTTGGAGGAGGCTTCTTCAGAGCTGTCAAGAGGGACCAAGCTTGATGACACCTTGTCATCTGCTTCTGGCCTCCTGAGATGCTTTTGGCTCTTTGTTACTGCAGCCCCAGGAGATTAACACAGGCTCAGAGTCATCAGTCGGTTTTCCTGTGGACACAGAGAAGCCAGTGGCCCGGGCAGGACTCCGTAGGTGGACTCCTACCTCATCCTCAAGCACCAGGGCCCTTCTCCTAGCCCACCCATTTTCTGCTCCCTGTTTGGGCACTGATCCCATAGCAGCCAGCTTGCAGGTGCTGCATGTATGTCACTCATGAGCGAACTGCACTTGTGGGAGGGAAAGCGAAGGAGCAAAGCCCCACACCCGGGTAGGGGCCAAGGTTAAGATGCATCTCGCTTTCGCTTTCTCCCCTTTGAGCTCCTCACATCTTTCAGCAAGTCTTTTGATTACAAAAGCTGCCCAGGGTCTTTGAAGACACACTGAAGTAGGGAAGTCCAGTGGGGACAGCCCAGTTCCCAGGTGTGACTCTTCTCTGCCATCTTGCTGGTGCTGTTGGCACTTAATTTCTAATATTGATAATTCATGGACATCTTCCCAACACAGGGACATTAACACATGGACACATGTTCCCATGATTTATAGAACAGGAATACCATTTGTGCCCTTCCCCCCAAACAAAACATTGGCACAGTGTTCTGTAGCAAAGACAGATGTGTTTCACACTGTGCTTGGCAAAGGGCATCTGAGAAGCTCTCAGGGTCTAGGTGCTGTCAGAGATGCTGTAAAAGATCTCAGAGTCGGTTCCATGCAGTGACTAAGTCCATCTGCAAGGCTCCTCCTGGCAGTGGGGATTGCTGGGTCAAAGGATTGGGGTCCATTAACATTTTAATCAATAATTCCATTGTTGTATTTTACAATGATATTTGACAAATTCCCATTTATATTGCTGAATTTTAGTCTTTAAGTATTCTAACCAATGATTAAAATATTGGCTCTAATAATTTTCATCTCTAAGAATTAGTCTTTTCCTCTGATTTTTCTCTCTGTCTCTCTCCCCCATTCTTTGTAGCAGGCGATTCTGATTTGGAAAATATAATAGCTTCATTAATGTCTCACTGGTGGTATGTGGAAGGAGAATTAAACACGGCCCGTCCTGCTTTTTAAATCCCCCTCTCTCTTGTGTTTTGAGGCCCAGAAGCCAGTGGCAGGAGTTTGGTGTGGGCTCTGGCTCCGATGGACTGTGAGAGTATAGGAAGCAGGGGGCCCCTCTTCCTTGTCTGTAAAAAGGAACCACGGCTCTTCCTTGCTGGTAGCATGTAGTGAGGGTTGGTTGAGGCAGGGGCCTGGTGGGCTCAGATGCAGCCAGGTTCCAGTGATAAGTTCACTGTAATTGTCATTTGATGCTGTTTTCTCCAAACTCCCAGAGATCAGATCCCTAGTTGGCCCTTCAAAGCCTTAAGTTCTACATCCACAGATTCAATCAACTTCCAATCAAATATGATAAGCATTTCTAGTTGCCCCTGAGTGCTACAAGTGAAGTGACTTAGGTACATGCAGTAAGGCCTCCACCGTGGCACGGGCCCTGTCTCTGCAGCTCTGGTGGGTTGAGCATTCTTTGACTGGGTTCTAAACAGCCCAGTCCAATAACCATTTATATAGTGAGTCAGTTTTTTGTCTTTGTGACCAAAATACCTGTCAAGAAAAATTTAGCGGCAGGAAAGCTTATTTGTGGCTCATGGCTTAAGAGGTTCAGTTCATAGTCTTCCTTCTCCATTGCTCTGAACTTGAAGAGAGAAAGAACATTCATAGCAGCTGGGAGCAGAGAGAGAATGCAAGGAGCAAGGACAAGATATAGTCCCCAAGGGCATGCCCCCAGTGACCTACCTCCTCCAGCCACAGGCCACCTGCCTCCAGTTACCTCCCAGTAGTACATTCAAGTTACTGATACATGAAATGGATTAATCCACTATTAGGTTATTGTTATGATTTGGATATGAGGTGTCCCCCAAAATCTCATGTTTGAGACAATGCAAGAAGGTTCAGAGGAAAAATGATTGGTCTTAACTCAATCAGTGAATTAATCCCTCATGGGATTAACTGAGTGGTAACTAGAAGCAGGAAGGGTATGGCTGGAGGAGGTGGTTACTTGGGCGTGTGGCTACGGGGCGTATATTTTGTATCTGGAGCTGGGGTCTCTCTCTCTGCTTCTTGACCACCATGATGTGAGCTGCTTCCCTCTGCCACACACTTCACCCTGATGTTCAGCCTCACCTCGAGCCCTGAGGAATGCAGCTGGCCTTCTCTGGACTAAGACCTCTGAAACCATGAGCCTTCAAATAAACTTTTCCTCCTTTACAGTTATATTCCTTATAATCTAATTATTTCAGTTGTGAACACTCCTGCATTATCTCGTACATGAGCCTTCAGCAGATTCCACATATCCAAACGTGAACACATAGCATTTTCCCTGTAGTCGGTATTATGATTGGTCTGGAGATGATGTCCAGGATATGGCAGGCTGTGCATAGGCTATATGCCAACATGTCACCATCATATATGATAGATGTGAGCAAGTGCAGGTTTTGTTGTATGAAGGAACCAATCTCCTGCAGATTCCAATGAGTGGCTAATTTATTTTCTTTGCACAGGATTCTCCTCCATGAGAAGTGGACAGTAGGCCCCATGGGTCAATGAAGGGGAAATTCAGGCAGCAGCTTCTGGCTGGCGAGCAAGGAAGGCTGCTGTCCAGCTGCTGTTCTTCATTCCTGAGAAAGCTGCTTTGTTTTCTCTTTCACCCCTTTCACTTGGTCTCCTGCGGAGGTCAAAGCTTTCTGGGGCCTTGTTCTCTAACAGAGGAGAGCTCCCTGGAGGGATCGTGACCCCCTTTCTCACTTGGACTAGTTTTTTTTTTTTTTTCCTTTACCAACTGTTTACAGAACACCCTGGCTGGTCCCTTTCTGGGCATGGATGGTACTGAGCGATTGGATGGCTCTTGTTCACATGAGTTTAATGCCTAGTGGGGTCGGGGAGGTTGTGCGGATGGAGAGGAAACAGGAAGTGTCAGGTGAGAAAGTACTGAGCCTGCTTTGGCTGGCGTTGTCTTCTCAATGGGATGTGTGAAGTGACGGGGAGGAGTGTATTTTGCTGCCATGTTCAGATGAGCAGGTGAAGGGTCAGGGCAGTAACCCCTGCCCAAGCCAGGGTATGAGGAGGTCAGAGCTTCACCTCTGACGGGACCCCTCCTGGGCTTTTTGAACACTAGAGGTGGCCAGGTGGAGTCCCTGGGCAGGACCGAGAATGGTGGAGGAGGCAGAGGTAGTTTCCTCTCACGCTCTGTGGGCAGCAGCAGGTTTCTCATGAGGCTTTATTTGGGACATCGCTGGAAATCCATACAGGAGTTTAACTGGCAGTCTGTCCCCAAATAAGTGAGCCACACAATTTTTTTTTCTTATTTTTAGTTTTCAGTTGATCATTAGAATTGCATGTATTTGTTGTGTACAACATTCTTTGAAGTATAAATTCAACACGGAAGATTAAATTTAGTTAAATGACAAATGCATCATCTCACATAGTTGTGATATTTATGGTGAGAACACTTGATAATTTCTGCATTTTTTTTCAGAATACAAAATACTATCAATAACT